GGTTTGATTCCCAGAATCCCATATGGTCCCCTGAGGCATCCCATATGGTCCCCTGAGCACCGCCAGGAGTAGAGTGCATGAGCCAGGAGTAACCCCTGTGCATCGCCGGGTGTGACCCAAAAAGCAAAAAAAATAAAATAAACAAAAATAAATAAATAAATAAAATGCGTTAATTCACAAATCTTTCTTGAGAGGGCCACAAGTGAGCAACTATAAAGACAGACCAGCATGGTCAGAGTCCCAGGTGAAGACGTGTAAAGAGCAGAGCGAACCCCCGAGGGCGTCTGCAAAACCCCAGCACTCCAGGGCTCCTGTGAGGGGGTGCGGAAGTGTCCTAAGAATGTGGTAGCATGGCTGCCGAGTACAGGACTTCTTTTTTACCCTCAAGATTTTTTCATGTTGATTTTCAACTGGAAATAAACATTTAACCAAAAAAAAAGTTTAAGTTTATTTTAACAGCATAGGAAATATTTATCTCATATTAATGAATAATAATGTCTACTATAAAATACATTTTTATGTGTATTTTAGCCCCCCCAAAAGACTAGATGGTTATATTCAAAATGTCTTTTTTAAGTTGGGGGCTGGAGTGATAGCACAGCAGGTAGGGCGTTTGCCTTGCACACAGCTGACCTGTGTTCAATTCCCACCATCCCATATGGTCCCCTGAGCACTGCCAAGAGTAGTTCCTGAGTGCATGAGCCAGGAGTAACCCCTGTGCATCACCGGGTGTGACCCAAAAAGCAAAAAAAAAAAGTCTTTAAGTTATGGACAATAGTTTTTTTACAACTTCTTCAAAGATTAGTCTTTTGAGAATTAAATTATCAATATATGATAGCTGTATGTATATATATACACATATATATATATTGGTTTCTGGGCCACACCCTTCAGTGCTCAGGGGTTACTCCTGGCTCGGCACTTAGAATCACATATGGTGGTCCTCAGGGACCATACAGGATGAGGAGATCAAACTCTGGCCCCAATAGGTATACATATAGCTATTAGATTTACAGATAGGTAATAGGTTGATATATAATTAGATAAATGGATGGATGGTGTGTGCATGGATAGGTGGGTGATGAGCAGATGGACAGTGAGTGGATGGATGATGGATAGACTGGTAGGAGACAGAGGAATGGATGACAGGCATAAAGATAAATGTCTCTCCTCTCTCTTCTTTCCTTCCTTTCATCTCTCCACTGGAATGAAACCAGAAGCAAAACCTTTTCAAAAAGAAAAACAGGCCTGGGGTCGGAGCAATGATGCAGCGGGTAGGGCGTTTGCTTGCGTGCAGCCAACCTAGCTGGCCCATGACTTGCATGCAGCCAGTACCCCTTATGGTCCCACGAACACTGCCAGGAGTAATTTCTGAGGTGCAGAGCCAGGAGTAAGCCCTTGAGCATGGCCCAATGTGGCCCAAAAATCAAAAAGTTAAAAAAAAAAAAAAAAGGAAAATTCAACATTTACAAACCTCACAGATCGTTCATCGGCCCTGGTGTAACGGTAGAGGACAGCACTGTCCTTGAGACCAAGGCTATCTGCTACACTGCTTCCTCCTGCTGACACCCAGGGACAGTGCACACATCACCTGCAGGGCCTCAGTTTACAGAAAGACGGGTGGGGGGAGCTGAGGAAAACGAGAGGCTTTTCAGTCACACCCCGAATGAGGCCCCGTGGCCAGTAGCCAGGCGTTTCCTTTACTCTGCTGCCCCTTCATTGTTTAAGACACACGTCCACCGTGTGACAGTGGGTGAGCCCCACACAGGCCAGGACACAGGGAGGGCAGAGAGGACAGTGGCCAGGCCCTCTGCAGCCAGGGTTGGGGCCACCCACATTGGACTTGGGCACAGAGTCATCACACGAGTGGGGGTGCAGTCTCAGGGTGGGGAGACCAATGGTACACCAGGTAGAGCTCCCCACACTTGGGACAGCAGGATGGGGGAGTGGGGGAAAGGGGTTGGTGGGACAGAGGGAAACTTGTAGAAAGAAACAAGTCAGCCCTTGGGGTCAAGTGTGTCGGCCTCTGAACCCTGTCTGTGATGGCCTTGAAGATTGTGCAATTCTCTTCCTTTCTATGACATCTGTGCAGGCAAAGGGCCACTGGGAACCTGTCTCTGGCCTCTCCCAGCATCCAGCACCCAGCACCCACGGGGGCCAGGTATGAGCCTTGGAACAGAGCACATGAACACCCTCCCCTTGTGTGCTCACGCTCCCAGTTCAGGGAGCCATGCCCCTGGGAAGACGGGGGAGCGCCAGCATCTGAGACCCGTGGCCCCATCTCTGTCAGCTGCATGAGCACGGATGCTGCCTGGGTACGGAGGGCGGTGGCTGGGGCCTTGGTCAGAACCCCCGCTCCAGGCTCGGGGGCACGCCCGATGTCGGGGCCTCAGTCGGAACCCCCAGCTCCAGCACTATCTCACTCCTCAGGCGAGAACAGTGACTGAGAGGCCCTGCCTGCGTCCCGCCCTGCAAGCACAAGCCAGAATGAAACCTGCCCATCTGTCATCTAGAGGTTCTGTCCCAACAGACTCGGCAGGTCCAGTGACCAGGGGAAGAGTCGCACAGGTCAGCGGCCATGGGTGGGTCCCAGGCTTCTTCCCAGTCCAAGCCTATTTCCTCCCTGCTCTCTTGCCCCATCTCCCCCTACACCGGGCAGGGCACGGGTGGCCCTGCAAGCAATGCCATGGCACGGCGGAATTGTTGCACAGTACGAGGCTCTCACAATGGGTGACAGGCTGAGGCTGCCCGCCTGGGCCTCTGTGTCCCTGGCTGTGCAAGGGGTGAGTGGGTGACAGTGTCCCCACTGCCTCCGGGGACTGTGGGTGAGAAACAGCCCATAAAACTTGCTGTAAAATTCCCTCCGTGCAGAGCCGCTATTAAAGTCACGAATATAGATCGTGATCACAGTCAGAGATGAACCTTCGGCCCATTTGGACCCTCCCAAGATCCACTCCTTGGCCCAAAGGGCCCCGAGACTCACAGCTGCTCCAGACTCAGAACAAGTCGAAACGGCTTCCCAGCGAGCATCGGCCCGGCAGGCCACCTCCAGACTGAGTAATCGCGCTTTCTTCCAGGTCCTGTCTGTGCCAAGTTCATCTGAAACCCCACGAGGCGTGGCACCCGGTTCCATCGGGTACCCCGCTGCCTTGCCCCAGAGCATCCAGCCAAGTCTGGAGAAGCCTTTGTGGCTTATTTCCCCTCCTGCACAAACACCCTGTCAGTGCTCGGCAGAGCCCGGGACTTGTCAAGGTTGGATGAAAAAGAAGTGTGGCTGTCTTAGGCAATCAAGTGACTTCCCGCTGAGACAGCTCCAGAGTCCCCTTGTTCTGAGATCCAAGGGGGAAGTCCCCCACGCCCCCTCCACTCCCCCTCCCACCTCCCCCACCTCCCCACCCCCCCAGCCACTGGAAGACAATTGTCCTACAGGTGGGACCCCGGTTGGCACCCCAGCACCGGCACTGCCCGTGTCACCTTTCCCAGACTGCATAATCGGGGTCACCTCATGAAGCAGAGTTTTAACAAAGCAATGACATGGGGGATAGAACCCAGGGCCTCACACATCCTTAGCTACTGAGATAGCATGTTTAAAAAAGGAAGAAAAAAAAGGTAGAAAATATTTGGACCTACATCATACGTAGGACTGGGTAGAAGATCTTTGCTTCACTTAAAAACTCTTTGTTTTTTCAAAATTATTTCAAATGACTGAACGATCATGGTACAAAAACATTTATTTAAATTAAATATTTTAGACAAATTAATGTCTACAACTGTTCCAAAGCATGTGAAACTCTTTCTGGAAATGGAGCCATCTAGCTTCATGTCTCTGATACCGGCTTCTGGGATTTGTAATACAGACTGAGTGCGCTAGTTGTGTACCCATGGTTCTACTATTTACCAAATGTCACACAGTAATAGCATAAAGATTAATCATATCTCATACATAATTTTACAATAGGACTCCTTGAAAGCGAACAAAAAAGGATCTTTCAGCAATACAAAATATAAGGCAAAAATAATAAAATATAAAAAAACACATACATATTTTGTATACAGGCATAATATGTAGAGTGTCTCTTAGCTCACGTTCAGATATTTTCCTTCAGACGAGGTTGGGGAGAAAGCTGGCACATCTGGGGGCTTGGGCAGAGCTCGGAAGCATTCTGGGAAACTGTGTATTTCGGGCTGGGGAGAAGCTGGCAGAGATCTGCTGGAGAAGGAGCAGGCACCCGAGGGCCGAGGCCCATCTCTGAACCAGTGGCCAATACCGAGCGGAAGGAAAGAGAGAAAGGATCGGGAAAGAGAGAGAGGGAGAAGCTGCCGAGAGGAAGGAGTACGCGCAGATCCGCTGATAGTCCCACGGCAGGGCTGGGGGACAGTGACGAGCTCTGCTGGAATTCACAGCGCCTGGCTCTTCGGGTTATTGGTGAGAACAGGAAGTTGCCAAGAAGCTGTCGTCACCGAGAAGCTTATCTGACTCCAGCTGCACGAACACTCATGTCCGGGGGAGTGTAAAGAGGTATGTGTGCGCGCGCACGGTACACATGTGTGTGCTTGTGTGCATATGTGCATGTATGTGTGCGTGTGTGTGTGAGAGAGAACAAAGAGCTCATCTAAAATTTCAGCTGCGTGCACACAGTTTGGACGGGATGGCACTCAGCATCAGGGACACAGCCATTCACATGGTTCCCGGCCCAAATCAAGAAGACCCTTAGGGAGGTGACCAAGCTTCCCCATAGGCAGTGTCCCAGGAGGAAGCTGGCACCGCACCCCGCTGGGAATCTCACCAGGGAGGTTGGTCTAGAGTGAGCCTGGAGAGCACTGAGAATGGGAACACAGAGCCTGCCTGCCTGCGCATGTCAGAACATCAGATGGGTCCATGTCGGGGGGGTCCCCCGAAGCAGGTCCAGGAGGGGCGTCCTCTCAGATGCCCACGCCGGCGGGCTGCTCACACTTGCTCCCTCGATGAGGGCACAGAAGGAAGGTCGGAGAACAACCGGCACCACGGCCGGCTGCAGCCGCGTCTGATTCCTGGGGTGCAGCCGGCGGAAACTCATCTGAAGGAAGATACTCGAGGCCTCAAGTTCCAGGGAGCGGGCGGGAGGGAGCAGTTCAGACCTGTCCACCAGGGTCCCCGCTGCTCGGTGAGCCGGAAGGCAAGGGCAGGCCGGCCACTGGCTCTAGGACACGCTGTAGCTGTTATAGTACGTGGCTGTGGCATCGGCCAGCACCGAGATGAGGCTGGTCTCCGCGGGGCCCCCTGACACAGGCCCACTGAGGGCCACGGTCCCCGCGACAGAATCCGGGTGGCCGGGAGTGTTCAAATACTGGTCAAACTCATTGCGGTCCATGTCCCCCAGGAGCTCAGCCTGACTCAGCTGGTCCAGGGCGTCGAAGCCAGGGTGCTCAGGCGGGGGTGATAGCTGGCCCAGAGGGGCGTGCAGGTTGGACTGTAGAGGGTGGTAGGTGGCGGGGGAGTAATAGGCGGGAGAAGGGGGACAGCCAGGCACAGTGGACATGAGAGAGACGCTGGGGGTCTGGCCGAGCCCCAGGGGGGCCAGGGCGTGGCCACAGTGGCGGGGGCTGGGAGCAAACTCTGGTGAGTAATGGGGTGCAGGCAGGTGGGGGAGTCGGCGGGGGGCTGCGTGCTCCTCCTGGCAGGGGGCAGAGAAGAAGGCCGGCTCTGGCTCCAGCATGTCCAGCGGAGACATCTCAGGGGGTGTGGGCAGCCCATAAGGGTAGGCGTCCACGCTGCCTGGGGTGCCCCCACCTCCGGCACCTGCGGCAGCCTCGTGGTAGCAGCCACGGAGACTGGGCAGTGCTGCCCCCGGGGAGTACTCACCCCTGTCCTCCTCGTCCCCCAGCGGCCCCCGGCCGCCGCCCCGCTTGTCTGGCAGGGCGTTCTGGTCCCGGGACAGGGAGCTCAGGAGGAAGCCGGGCTCGGTGCGCTTGCCCAGACGCTTGGCCTGCTTCTTGCGGCGCGGCCGGTACTTGTAGTTGGGGTGGTCCTGCATGTGCTGCAGCCGCAGGCGCTCCGCCTCCTCCACGTACGGCCGCTTCTGGGACAGCGTCAGCGCCTTCCATGACTTTCCTGTCCACACAAGTTACAAGGGCCACACTCAGTTGCTGCGCCACACGGGCATAGCACCCATACCCTCTGCCGAGATCCCACCCGCCACCCCCATGGACACAGCACAGACCTCAGGTTCAGTGCCTGGTGCTCGGTCTCAGCAGAAGGCACCGAGCATGGACTAAGGAGGGTCCACCCATGCCCGGCCCTGCAGAGCAGAATCCTGAAGGACCATGGAACTGTCTGGGTTCCCTTGTGCAGAGTCATCTAGAATCATCTGTGGGGTTCGTTTGGGTCTGGGGGCTGTACTTGGCAGTGCTCAGGGCTTACATCCTGCTCTGGACTCGGGGAACACTCCTGGGGGTAGTGGCGGGAGGCTCATGTCATACCAGGAGTCAAAGCTGGGGTGGCTGTGTCTGCGTATATGTGAGTGTGGGTGTATGTGTATGTGGCCATCTGCAAGGCAAGTGCCTTCCCCACTGTCCACTTCATTTGTGGCTTTAACAAGGATGTTTTGCCTTGGCTGTCTTGAGAGCTGTCCCTTAGGAAGAGACACTAGTGTTTGTGTATGGTCTGAATCCCTCCACCCCTCTGCCCTAGATAAGTGACTCTGCTTGGAGCAATTTCACAGGTGACAGACAGGGTCCCTTACAGGATAGGCCCAGAATGCTGGCATCAGTCTTCTGAAGGCACGCATGCACACATACACACACAAACGCACGGCTTGTGCACACACATGCACACACATACACTCACACTCACATATACTCAGACACAGACACATATATTCACATACAGACACATCTACATACACAGATTCATATATACGTAGAGAAAGTCACATGCATACACAGATATGCAGGCACGCACATATATACACACACATGCACCGACTTGCACAGCCACACGTGTACACAGGCACATGTGTAATACACTGACATACAGGTACGCATGCATGCACACTCATGCACAGACATGTTCAAAGTCACACACATACGAAGGCACACGTGTAAAACACCAACGTGCATGCATTGAAACGCACATACAATCATACCTGCAGGCCCCTCTCAGTTGGTGCCTCTCCCCACAGAGGCCCGTCCGGACCCCTGCGTCCCCCTCTCCGCAGCAAGGAGGCACCGTGGCTCTGCCTGAGCCCCCACACTGCTGCCCTGTGGGCAGTGCGTGCTGCCCGTTCCTTGGCGCCAGCCTGCTGGCCTGGTGCTGCTGTGATCCTGCCCTCCCAGCCTGGCTCACCCTGAGGGTGCTGTCCACCAGCCCTGGGCACAGCGCTGCCCAGCTCCTCGCAGCTGCCCCGGGTTGGCCTGGGATTCTGTGAGTGTGTAAGGTGCCCACGATGAAAGCGTGCCAGAGTTTCGGGGGAGGGATGCCGAGAGGGCACTCTGTCAGGGAAGGTGCCACAGGTCCCCCAGTGTGGGGCAGGAGCCTTTGCAGGATTCTGCCCTGGAGTCCGGGAACTCGAGGCTGTGCGTGGCAAAGGGTAACCTGGAAAGTGCCAGGAGCCCACACAGGGTTGGACAGCAGTTCCAGCCCAGGCCCCAGGTTTCTTGCAAGCAGCCCTGTCTTCAAGCACCGCACGTTTGTGGACTGGACCTGAATGGGAGCCCCGTGAAGTCTAAGAGGACCTGGATCTCGGAATAGCCAAAAAATCCCCCTTCCTTTTGTCAGTGCCACTGAGAGCTCAATGTCTAGAGAAGGCGAGCACAGAGGGTCAGCGCCTCCTCCTTCTCGGCCAGGAAGGAAAGGGGGGGTCCAAAGGATGAAGGCGGGCTCTGTAGGCAGCAGGCCGGGATTCCATGCCCCGGTAGGACAGGATCCCCCAGGATCACTGGGTACAACCCCCACCCCCACCCCTGTGTCCAGCAAGGAGCTTGAAGCAACTACTGAGCACGGCGGGGGAGCAGCCCAAAAAGCAAAGAAAAACAGAAAAAAGGAAGGAAGGAAACGGTGCGTGAGACCAACCCAGAGAGACCATCCTGTTGGCCCTTTTAACAGGTGTAAAAAGTCCACATTTTCCAAAGCAGCACCCGGGGTTCCCTGCCCCGTGCCAGCTCGGCTGGGTCAGCAGGAAGGGCTCAGAATTCCTGCAAATGAACCTCTGGGCACGGCCACTGGCTTCAGTCCCCTGGCAGAAGGCGCCTGCCCCGGGTCCCTCTGCCCGCCTGTCCCTGCAAGGACAAAGACCCACCCGGCTTCTCTTCCCCTCTCCGGCCAGAAAGCCCACCCCATCGGGTCTCCACAGAGCACTCTCATTTCTCTTAAAACAGGTTTCTTCTAGGTCGAAGAAACTTGAATTGTTCTACATGTTTCCTGACTTGTCTTGATTCCAGTCCCGTATAAAGGCTGTGTTTCTGCCCCTTTTTTTTCCGGGGGGGGGGGGGGGGTGAGGGAAGGGTCTCAGGCTCAAACTTGCCAGGGGCCCAGAAGTGGCTATCCCCAAGGAGGGACAGAGGGCAGGAGTTTCTTGGGAGCCGGCAACCCACCAACCCACCAGCTACTTTGAAAACGGGACATCTGCCCCTAAATCCAGTAGGGAGAAACGAAGCCTGATCAATAGGTTCCACCTGGAAGGGCCTGAAGCTTCAACAAGAAGAGAAAAGGCTCTGGGCAGGGCCACCAGGGGGTCCGCAGGCGAAAACGGATCAGAAGGCCTGCAAAGAGCGAAGCGGTAGGGAGGTGCTGGGCTCTGTCCGGCGTCCAGGGCCGGACACTCTGGCTGGGGGCTTGTGAGAGAGCCGCTCCTAGACCCCAGACTGGGAACCCTCGCTCCCTGCCAGCTGACGGCCGCCCCTCTGGTCCTGCCCGGCCCCACCCACTACCTCAAGTCTTCACCTAAGGGTCCGCACCTCGCCAAGTCCCACCAGTTGGCGACCTTTCCTTTCTCCCCCTTTTCCTTTTTCCTGCGGGCTTAGTAATCAAGCCAAAGCAGAAGGTGGGAGCCAGGCTGCACCACCGGCCGCGGCTCCCGGGCTGAGTCAGTGTCGTGTTCCAGGAAGGACGGCTTTGCCCCGCTGGTTTCCTAGCGAACGCGGTTCCACCCGGCCACGCCGTTTCCGTCCCGTGGCCCGGACCCTGGGGCCTGGACGCAGCCGGCCCCGCCCCGCGCCCCTGGTGGACCCCGAATTCGGCTCCCGCTGAGGGGGCGTCCCGCCACCTCCCCGGGCGCCCGGGCGCGCGCTGGGCCTCTCCAAGGTGCTCAAAAGCCGGCGCCGGGCGCGCATCCAGGCCGGCGCAGGTGACCAGACGGCCCGCGCCCTAGCGCGCACCCCGTCGGGGAGGTCTCCGCGTCCCGCACGCTCTGCCCAGGGGCCGAGTGTTCCCGCGTCCCCCTCACTTCCCGGGGCCGGGGATCCCCGCACCCCCCGCGCTTCCTAGTGGTGTCCACGGCCTCCGCGCGCTTTCCCGAGACGGGAGCCCCCGCGCCCGCGCCCCTGACCCCAACTCACCCAGCATCTTGCTGAGCTCGGCGTTGTGCAGGTCCGGGTTCTGCACCGCCAGACGTTTCCTCTCGTCCTTGGCCCAAACCATGAAGGCGTTCATGGGTCTCCGGATGCGACTCTCAGAGCTCTTGTCCCCCGGCGGGCGTGGGGCGGCGGGGGGCGACAGCCCGTCCGACAGGTCGGCGTCCAGGGCCGGACACTCGAGGCCTTCGGCCCACGGGTAAGCTGCCAGCAGCGAGGCCATGGTGCCAGGGGTCTCCTCGCCGGGCCGGGCGCACGGGACCCTGCGTGGGGCGCGGCGGGCGTTCGACTTGGCCCGCCGCCCCGCGCCGGCCCCTTATTTATCAGCTTGGGGCGGGCACGTCCTCCAATGAGTCTCCACGACGGCACGGCCCCTCCCTCGGCCCCGCCGTGTCCCCGCGCCGACCCGCCGGGAGGGGAGCGGGGAGGGAGGGCCGCGTCCCTCCGCGCCGCCCCGGCCCGCCCCTCGGCCGCCCGCCCGGGGATCCGCGCGCAGGTGCGCCCGTGCCCGAGCCGAGCTCCGCGCCCCCGGCCCCCGCCGCCCCGCCGGGCCCGGCTCCAGCTCCGCCCGCGCGCGGGGCCCTCGGAGAGCGGCAGCCCAGCAGGTCTGGCTGGGAACGCCCGGGAGCGGGCCCGGACCGCGCACCCGCAAGCGCTCCGTCCGGCCACCTGGGCACCGCTCCCTCCCCACCCCCTGCTGCGGTTCCTTCTCTCCCACCAGCCTCAGCCTAGACTTAGGGGGGGCGGCGTACGAGTGCCCCTCCCAGATACCCCACGGCAGGCTGGACATTGAGGTGGGGGCCTTCCCTGGGGGACACACACCTTCCCCCTAGACGGCAGCCCATCCCCTGTCCAGGAATGAGGGGTCCCTGACTTGGAGCAGGCTCGTAGAACTGAATGGAATCGGGAGCTGGCTGGAGCAGTGTAGGCGGTTCATGCACAGAAAAAGATCCAGGAGCAACAAAGCCCCGGGGAGGGGCGTGGGTGGACAGGTCAGGGTCCCAAGACATGAACACCCTCCCAGGAGGGACTGTGGGTGGACAGGACAGGCCCCAAGGCATGAATGCCCCCCTAGGGAGGGGCCGTGGGTGTCAGGTCAGCGTCCCAAGGCATGAACACCCCCTCAGGGAGGGGCCGTGGGTGGACAGGACAGGACAGGGCCCCAAGGCATGAGCCTGCCCCCTTCAGGATGAACAGTGGATGGAGGCCACCTCACTGCCTCCTCTCCCACTCACTGGGTCTCCATGCTGGTCCCCCGTTTGGAAGAGAGGAGGTAGTTGTGCGCACTGGTCCTTGGGGGGTGGGAGTGGCCCGCGAGAATGTCCAGGGTCCCTGCCTCTGCATTCGGGTCACTAGGTCGGTGTTCCCGTTCCAGACAGGTACACGCTGGGGCCAGCTGGGGCGGATGGAGCCCGGGGATGGAGAACAGGATGTGGCTTGTCATCCCGAAGCGCCTCTCTCGGGCTCCTGTCCCAGCGGGAATGTTCACCCCTGAAAGGTGCTTCCGCTCCCTGGCGGGGCAGGCGGGGGCGGGGCGGGGATCGGGGAGCACCGTGTTTGCGAAGAGAATGTGCTGTGCTCTGCGGCCACCTCCTGCACAGACGCTCCCTGAGTCCCGGGTGCCAGCAGGGGAACACCGGGCGGCAGGGCAGGGAAGAAGGATCCAGGCAGATACACTTGGCGCCCATGTTTCCTGACCCACAGCTGCTCCTGGGTCAGAGGCTGCTGGGGTAGGGGCCCCCAGGGCACCTCTGGGCACCCGCCCTCCGTGCCTGGACTCCAGCTCTGGCTCTTCCTCTGATTTGCGCCAATTTCTTTTATTAGCCACCAGCGATGCTCGGGTTCCCCAGGGAGCGGCCCAGCCGGAGCTCGGAGCTCGGAGGGGTCCATCTGAGTCTCGGGCCTGATGCCCCACACCCCGCTGGCATGCCTGCACTCACTCTCCGCCAGTCTGGACACACAGCGGTGTAGCCGAGGGCCAGACTGCAGGGCCCAGCTCCCTCGGGCACCACTCTGGCGAATCCCTCACCTGGGCACTTTCTCTTCACATTTCCTTCTCTCCCGCCTTTTCTTTTTCTTGGTTCCCTCCCTCCCTCTGGTACCCTCAGGTACCCACCCTGGCCTCTTCTCCCTCCCCCTTTCTTTCTCCCCCTTACCTTTCTCCCCTCTCACCCTGCAGGACACTCTCCACCCCAGGGGCCAGTACCCAGGATGTGTAGGCATGGATGGAAGTGTGGGTGAGTGACCCCCTTGCCCTGTCTGCAGTGTTGCTGGGATTGTTGCAGTTCCCCTGCTGTGCCCCCAGCCTCTCCCCCTGCCTCATCTGCCTGCCCGCCAAGGTCAGTGCCTATAAGCTGCCCATTATGCCACCAGCCACAGGGCCCTGACCTCTCTCAGGCCCCCAACACCTTGGACCTCCCCCCCCACACACCCAGTTCCCCTTTTTAGCCTCAGACATCACTTAGGAGCAACCTGTCCGGGTCCCAAACTTAGGAAACTCTGGTGCAGTAAAACCGCGGAGTCCAAGGGCCAGCGCACTGCAGGGACGGGTGCAGCTCTCTGTCTGCGTGGGACCATGGGGCTGTCCCTGCACCATTACCCCCTTACCCGCAGAGTCCAGGCTGGCAAGACAAGAACTTGGAGTGGCATCGCTTTCTGCAAGCTACACTCTGGCACCACGGGTGGTGTAGACCCTGACACAGACCCTTTCAGAACCGAGCACTGATCCTGGCCCTAGCACTGATCCTGCCCGTGGGCACAGGGTGGTGGGGGACAGAGCCTGGCCTCGGGTGTTTGCTCCAGCTGCCTTTCCTCATGTGCCTTCATCTGAGGGGGACCCCTGGCACCCGCTGGCTTCTGGAAAGGGTCCCTGGATCTGCCAAGGTGACACTTTCCAAGTTCCAAGGAGCCCCCAACTCCACACTAGAAAACCACTGGCTGGCAGGTCCCGCACTCTGGGAGACAGAGGGACATCCGTGGTCAGTAAGGGGGCGGGGGGGGGGAGGAAGCCAATCTTTTGGGCGGAGCCTGTGCCTATTCTATCGAGCCTCTGGGCTGTTGCTGTGGATGGCTTTCAGGTTTTGTTTCTAACAAATTACTTGGTGATGTTTGTTTGTGCTGAGCGCCAGCAGAGTGACCCAGAACCAGGTCCACCAGCTTGGCCAACTGCCTGGATGCCGGCTGTGGTGCCCTCAAAGCAGGGTGGAGGCTCGCTATTTCGAAATGGAGCATTCGAGAAAAGCTGAAGTCGAGGAAGGCCCACAGAGCCCCCCACCCCCAGAGCTCACACCTCCCTTCTAAGAGGGGCCCTGCGGGGAGCCCCAGAACTGCCTCTTCGGGTCAGGGCCCCCGGGTGGGGGGCGGAACATACTGGCTGGCTGGTGGAGGAATGTCAGCCCCAAACTGTCCCCAGTTTTCAGGGGCCCAGCCCCGGCACTGGGGCACTGTAGAGAGACCTAGGGTGGGAACTAGCTCTGCCCCCCCCCCAACCTTCCCCCACCGGCCCTGGGCTGGCCTGGGCTGGGATTAGTCGTTTCTCATGGAAAAGACTCCAGAAGCTGAGCTGTGAAGTCTCTTCCTCTGGGAGCTGGGGACAGGGCCTGAGACTGGGGGTGGCAGGTGGGGCTGGCCGCAGCTGTGAAGTCTCTTCCTCTGGGAGCTGGGGACAGGGCCTGAGACTGGGGGTGGCAGGTGGGGCTGGCCGCTCAGTGAAAGGGGGCTGAGGGGGGCTCAGGGTGGCAGGATCCTCCCAACCAGGGCACGTGAGCTACCTGTGAGGTGGCCAGGCCCAGCCAGCTCCTGGGTTTCTCCTTTGCCGGTTTGGGTTTTCTGGGCATGGAGCACACCCAGCAGTGCTCGCCCCTTGGTGCTCCTGTGCTGGACTCTATGCGTTGCTCAGGCTGGAACTGGGGTCTCTGCAGGCCTGCGCTCCAGCCCTGAGACAGACACACACGCATACACATGCGCACACACACACACACACACATGCATGCACACACATGCACACACACCTGCACACCTGCACTCCACCAGAGACAGATAGATGTACACATGTATGCACAAACACTCTGCACATGCACACATGCATATACACCCTGTACATGCACACATAGACACCCTGAACACACATGCACACATAAACACCCTGAACACCCATGCACATGTGTACATGCATTCATGCACACACACGCACACGTTCACATGTACTCAGGCCCTGGCCCTAAGGTCCTGTCTCAAGTCTGCTTGTCCGAAGACCCCTGGGAAACAGGCCCTCACTCAAAGACCCCAGTGACCCTCAGTCACAATTGGTTCTGCTACACAGGAGTGACCTGGGGAGGGGGCGCTGTGTACACCACCCCAAATGTAGCACTTGTCCCACTTAGGGCCTGAGGGTCAGAAATGTGTAGAGACCAGCCAGGGTGTCGGGGGTCTCACAGCATCTCCCCTTATCTAGGGTCTCAGCTGGACTCACTCTAGTGGTCAGAAAGTAGAACCTTCTAGAAGTTTCTTCAGCCCTATCTCTGCCACTAGGGCCTGGATGACTGGAAGGCAAGGCCCAGTTGGACCAGGTGACAGGTGTGCCCTGGCTGTGTCACATGGATTTGGCTCCAGAGTGTGGTAAACCTCCAAGACTAACTGTCTCAAGCAAGGTAAAAGGTACCTGGTCTTCACATCACCAACCCACCAATGTTGGAGAGTCGGGGCAATCCCAGCTCTTGCAAGCCCACCTGGAGTTAAGGGGAGGGACCACAGGGCCCAGCTCTCCTCCTGGGGAGTGTCCCAGAAGCACCCCGCTGAGTAAGCCCTGTGGCATTCCTTCCCTCCCAGTGGTCAGAAGCCTGTCAGCCTTTCCTCACAACCCGCTCCCACACACACCCAGGCACTTCCAGCCGGCCTCAAGCTCCCAGGAACCGGCGGATGGTGGGCAGCTGGCACCCGTTTCCCCAGTGAGTAGGAATAAGCCAAGGTGTCAGCCGGGTTCAAGGCTGGCACGGGGCCTCCCTACTGAAGTTGCTTTTGATCAAAGCTTGAGGAGGCACAGACCCATGTGAGGAGCTGGGACTTGTCGTGTGTTAATGGAGGGGATGGCCAGAGCATATTTTGGCCAAAACGGGCATTCATGTTGGAAGAACAATGTCTCTAAGCCCTTCCTCTATAGGGTTGGGGGCTGACCCAGAGGTGCCTGGGTCACACACACAGACACACACACACACACACACACACACACACACACACACACACACACAGCAAGCACCTTCCTTCCCTTCCCTCTAT